GTTGGAGGGTCAGTGATGAGGGAGCGGGCACTGTCGGAGGGTCAGTGATGAGGGAGCGCTACGATGCACTGTTCCCATCAAACACCTATAGAGTCATAAAGCTGTACAGCATGGAAACAGGCCCTTCAGTCCATTTTATCCATGCCGACCAGATATCCTAAATTTAACTAGTCCCTTTTGCCAGCATTCGGCCCATATCCCTCTAAACCCTTCCTATTCATATACACATCCAGATGCCTTTTAAATGTTGTAATTGTACCAGCCTCCACCATTTCCTCTGGCAGCTCATTCCATACACACACCACCCTCTGCATGAAAACGTTGCCCCTTAGGTCCCTTTTAAATGTCTCCCCCTCTCACCTTAAACCTATGCCCTCCAGGTTTGGACTCCCCACCCCAGGGAAAAGACCTTGTCTATTTACCCAATTCATGTCCCTCATGATTTTATAAACCTCTATAAGGTCACCCCTCAGCCTCTGATGCTCCAGGGAAAATAGCCCCAGCCTATCCAGCGCCCCCCTGCAGCTCAAGTGCTCCACCCTGTGGACAGGTCTGGCACATGCAGTGATACAGAGTAAAACCTCGACCACACTATGTGTCACCCTGTTCTGCCCCTCTTCTGACTGCGTTTTATTGGACGAGACTTCATCACATATACCTGCAGAAGGAGGCTATTCAGCCCATTGTGCCTGCACCCGCTCTATGCCCATGGGCCAAACTCCTGCCTTTTCCCTGTATCCCTGAAAACCATTTCTATCTAAGTAACCATCCAATGTACCTCTTGCATGTCTGAATTGAAGCTGCCTCCATCACATTTCCAGGCAGCGTATTCCAGACCCACACTACTCACTGAATAAGAAAGTTTTTTCTCACATCGCCCTCACTTTGTCTGCACATCAATTTAAATCTATTCATTCTCATTCTTGTTCCTTTTACAGGTGGGAATGGCTTCTCCCTGTCTGCTCTATCCAGCCCTCTCATGATTTTGAAAACCTCTATCAGATCTCCTCTCAGCCGCCTTCTCTCCCAGAAAGAACACTCCCAACTGCTTCAATCTCTCCTCATCACTGACGTTTCTCATTCCTGGAACCATCCCTATAAATCACTTCTGCACTGTCTCCAGTACATTCACGTCTTTCCTATAACGTGGCACCCACAAATGTACACAATACTCCAGGTGAGGTCTAACAAGTGTCTTTTTTTCTATTCATTTTTGGGATGTGGGCATCACTGCCTGGGCCCAGCATTTCTTGCCCATCCCTAGTTGCCCCTTGAGAAGGTGGTGGTGAGCTTCCTGCCTCCAGGCAACTCCAACTGGTCTTATACAAGTTCAACATCAACTCCTCACCCTCAGACTCTATGCCTTATTAATAAAGTCGAGGGCATTGTATGCCTCATTAACTGCTCTCTCCACTTGTCCTTCTGTGCATATATACAACCAGTTCCCTCTGTTCCTGCACTCCATTTAGGATTGTACCCCATATTTTTGTACCTCAATTTTGCTTTGTACCAAAGTGCAATATACCTTTTTTTTCTCAGAGTGATGAATTATTTCTTAAACATCTGCCATTGTTCATAAATTATCTTTGTGTCTAACCTCCTTTCCCAGTCTATTCCAGGCAGCTCTGTCCCCATGCTGATTAAATTAGTTATTATTTCAGTTTTACAGTTGTTTCTGACCCAAGTTCCTCCCTCTCAAACTGAATGCTCAGTTCTACCATGTTATAGTCACTGCTCCAAATCAGAAATCATTTACTGAATAATCCAGATTGTGCTAAGAGTTACATCAGAAAATAAATTCAGATTATCAGCTGGGCTCACTATGTGTTGCCTATGTATGAGCTAGAAACTACCTACATAAGAACTCAGGCCCCTGTTTCATGGAGGCAAAACAAATTTGCAAAAATACTGCAACTTTTTTTAAAAAGGGTCATGGAAACAGCCAAGCTCTGCTGCATCCCCATGGTAACACCCTGACCAATCAGAATCTACCTGCCCGTCTGAGAATAAAGATTGACAGTTCACTGTTCTGGCTGCATCTCTGTGTCAATGATAGCCCAACCAATCAGAAGCCTCTGCTCACTCTGTAAACAATAATGTCTCTTTTTCACAACTCTGTGTCTTGTGTCCTAGTTCTGATCAGTGCAAGACAAAAAGACTTCAACTTCCACTTTCCTTTTAGCAATGTTTAAGTTCTGTACGACAAAGTTTTGATTTAATTAAGATTTGTACAAAATAAAAACCGGAAGAACTGCAGATGCTGTAAATCAGAAAGAGAAACAGAAATTGCTGGAAAAGCTCAGCAGGTCTGGCAGCACCTGTGAAAATAAATCAGAGTTAATGTTTTGGGTCCAGTTCTGGGGAAGGGTCACTCAGCCCGAAACATTAACTCTGATTTCTCTTCACTTAATGCTGCCAGACCTGCTGGGCTTTTCCAGCAACTTCCGTTTTTGTCTTTTATACAAAATAAAATTGGAGATATTCTCACCCAACTGTACACACTTTCAATTCTCACAGTCATCGTAGAGTCACTGAGATTGACAGCACAGAAAAAGGCCCTTAGGCCCATCAAGTATGTGCCAGTCACTAACAACTACCTCACTATTCTAGCCCCATTTCCCAGCAACAAAAACAAAGTTGCTGGAAAAGCTCAGCAGGTCTGGCAGCATCTGTGGAGGAGAAAACAGAGTTAAAGTTTCGGGTCCGGTGACCCTTCCTCAGAACTGATGGTGGCTGGGAAAACGTCAGTTTATATGCAGAAAGTAGGGAGGTGGGTGGGGTAGGGAGTAAACGATAGGATAGAGCCCAAAGAGAGAGAAAGACAGTTGGACAGACAAAGGAGTTGCTAACGATCAGGCTGGGAGGGTAAATAGTTGTTAATGGGGACTGTTAGTGACTAACAACAGGGGGTGTGTAATGGCAGGCTATGTGGTAACAAGGCCTGGTGTGTGGGGTGGGGGGCTGGGACATGGGAGAGTTTAGGCCCTAAAATTATTGAACTCAATATTGAGTCCGGAGGGCTGTAGGGTCCCCAAGTGGAAAATAAGGTGTTGTTCCTCCAGCTTGCGCTGGGCTTCACTGGAACACTGTAGCAAGCCGGAGACAGAGATGTTGGCCAGGGAGCAAGGTGGTGCATTGAAGTGGCAGGCGACAGGTAGTTCAGGGTCTTTTTTGCAAGAAGAACGTAGATGTTCTGTGAAGCAGTCACCCAGTCTGTGCTTCGTTTCCCCAAGGTAGAGGAGACCACATTGTGAGCAGTGAATGCAGTAGACTAGATTGTAGGAAGTACAGGTGAAGTGTTGCTTCAGCTGGAAGGTATGTTTGGGCCCTTGGATACTGGGGAGGGAGGAGGTAAATGCGCAGGTGTTGCACCTTCGCCGGTTACAGGGGAAAGTGCCATAGGGTGTGGGGAGGTGTTGGGGGTGAAGGAAGTATGGACCAGGGTGTCCCGGAGGGAACGGTCCCTGCAGAAGGCGGACAAGTGCCTGAACCTCCTGCCCCTTCCCTTAAATCTGTGCTCCTGATCATTGATCCCTCCCTCAAGGGGAAAACGTTTTTTCCTGTGTCCCTCATCATTTTATACATTTCAATCGTGTTCCCTCTCAATCTCCTCTGCTCTAGGGAAAACATCCCAGTCTGTCCAATCCTGAAACTCTCCATGTGTCTGGTGGTGGCATCTTGCTGGAGGTGGCGGAAATGGCATCTGATGAAATGGTTCCCATTTCCCAGCACTTGGCCCATAGCTGTGTGTGCCTTGACATCACAAGGACACATTTAAATCCTTCTTCAATGTGATAAGGGTTTCTGTCTCTCCCCCACCCTCACAGGCAGTGAGTTCCAGATCCATCCTCTGGTGGAAAAGGTTTTCCTCACATCCTGCCTGAACATCCTGCCCCTTCCCTTAAATCTGTGCTCCTGATCATTGATCCCTCCCTCAAGGGGAAAACATTTTTTCCTGTGTCCCTCATCATTTTATACATTTCAATCGTGTCCCCTCTCAATCTCCTCTGCTCTAGGGAAAACATCCCAGTCTGTCCAATCCTGAAACTCTCCAGCCCCAGGCAACACCCTGGCAAATCTCCCTGCACTCTCTCCAGTGCTGTTACACACCTCCTATAACGTGGATTCCAGAACTGCTCACAATACTCTCTCTGTGACCTAACCTGACCTGTTCTTAAACACTATACTTTGGCTAATAAAAGCAAATATCCCATTTGCCATCTTAACTACTTTATCCACCTTCCCTGGTACTTTAAGGGACGACTGTACATGCTCACTCAGGTCCCTCTGATCCTCGGTGCTTCCCAGGGTCCTACTCTTCATCATGTGTTCCCTTGCCTTGTTTGCCCTGCCCAAATGCATCACCTCACACTTATCTGGATTGAATTCAATGTGGCACTGAACAGCCCATTTTTATCCCTCTATAATCTAAGGCTATCTTCCCACCATTTACCACCCTCTAATTTTCATATCATCTGTGAAGATGTCACTATAGTCCTGCTGTTCTTCCTTTTCCCTTTCTGTACAGCAGATCCCCTTCCCCCACTTCTCTCCCCTGCACAGTCATCTCCCCTGACAATATCCAGAATGGGGTACATCTGTTCGAAAGGGGGTGGCCATGGGGTCTGCAATGCTGTTCTGGTCAGTGTGCCTGGGCAGCTCTCTCTGTTCTGAGGCAGCCTGTGCTCTCTGGAACAGGAATGTAGAGCTTTGTGTGTTGGATTTTGTTGATGAAGCCTCAGTTTATTGTCAGTTTGTGACAGTGCCTCTGTCCCACTCTCAGCACCTACAACCAGCTCTGGCTACAAGCTCAAAATGCCCTGAATGACATTCTCGAGCTAGAGTCTGCCGGGTCCACACTGGACATAACCAAAGATGCTGCAGCGTTTTCCCGATACCAGAACAATCTTTACATCAAATACATCCGGATATTCCGCAAACTGGAGATTGTCCATGATCAGATCGCTCATCCTCAGAAGTGGAAAGTGGTGGAGATGCTCCTGGAAGGAGTGATGGGGCGGATTATCGAGGTGCGGAGGGAGATGGTTGATAAAGGACTTTCCGAGTTTCACTTCATGGACGATGTGATCCAGGACCTGAAACTGACACCGGTGCGTAAGGAGAGAGTGACTCCACCACTGCCTTTGTGTGTCTGTGTGTCTGTCTATGTGTCTGTCTGTGTGTAGATACATAAAACCATAAGAAATAGGAACAAGGGGAGGCTATTCAGCCCCTCGAGCCTGCTCTGCTGTTCAATAGGATCATGGCTGATCCAACATTCCTCACGTTCACTTTCCTGCCCTTTCCCTGTAAACATTGATTCCTGACCGATCAAGAATCTATCTCAGCTTTAAACATATCAAGGCCTTTGTCCCCACAGCTCTCTGTGGTATTGAGGTCCAAAGACTCTCAACCCTCGGAGAGAAGAAATTCTTCCTCATCTCAGTCTTAAATTGGTGCCCGTTTACTGTGAGACTATACCCTCTAGTCTTAGACTATCCCATGAAGGGAAACACCCTCTCAGCATTTCCACTGTCAAGCACCTTAAGAATCCTCTGTGTTTCAATGAGATCATTTTTCATACTTCTATAAACCTGAGTGAGTAGAGTTCCGAACTGTTTAAGGCTTTGCTCACAAGGCAATCCCTCCATAGCAGGGATCATCCCAGTTAATTATCTCTGAACTGCCATCAATGAAATGATATCTTTCCTTAAACAATGAAACCAGAACTGTTCACAGTACCCCAACTGAGCAGATCAGAGAGAGCCACTGAAATTGACCATCTTTCCAACAAGGGCCAGCAATCTCCAGGGCTGCCAACCAGGAAATGTCCCATTCCTCCTGCCTGTGACCCACTCCTCTCTCTGTGCCGAAATATAACCCCAGATCCATGAGCTGCCTCCTTCTGTAACAAACCATTTTGGTGGCTCCTTAACAAAACTTTGTAAAAATCCAAATGTTTAGAACTTGTATCTACACAGCAAATTACACCATCAAATAACAGATTTATCCTTTGTAGCAGCACAGTGGCTCAGAGGTTAGCACTGCTACCTTACAACACTAGGGACCTGGGTTCAATTCTACCCTCGGGTGACTGTCAGTGTGGGTTTGCTCTGGTTTCCTCCCACAGTCCAAAGATGTGCA